TTAGGTCCGATAACTTTTGCCTCAGGTTTATAAATGTCACTACTAAGCTAACTAACTTCTTATAGAATGTCTATATTATAACTCGTCATATACATAACTGTAGTTCCACAAGTCGTCTCAACTTAAAAGAAATATTTTTGATCAAGTCTATTACTTCAAATTGTTATATTCCTCACCAACCAGTATGTTAAACTGGCCGGTATATGCGTTGCATTATACCTCTAGGCCTTTCAAAATTAGCAATCATTTGAATCGTTTTTAACATTCTCACTAGACCTGTCATAGTCATCATTGCTATACGTATTTGGGTTTATGAATTGAGTTGTCATAGTTGCCTAGAAAGACGCTGAACATAGTTCATATAATAAAGTTAACAAATTTGGGTACTATTATACTGCACTAGTATAATAACTAAACTAATTGTTGGTCAGACAAACATTTAAAATCCAAATTCTGGAGCCTAGCATTAAAATTAACACCGTGTAGACGAATGTTTTTGAGTTGCAATTAGTGATATAATCAGACAGCTCGGATTCGTTGACACTACAAACATCTGCTATTTCAGAAGCACCTAAAACAACAATACATGTTTCCCACTGGCTAATCCTCAATCAACCTTGTAACAAGTTATAAATAATGGTTTCAGGATATCGTCATAAAGCATTTTCATGACTTAATAATAATGTAATACGATTGATAAAACTATTAACAAACCCTGCCTACAAACTGACTTGTAATTACCACTAAATAGTGTTGTTTTTTCAGGGTTATCTTTGTCTATTACAGATGATTTCAATATGTTTCTCTATCAGTTGCTCATCCAGTAAATATCATTGTTTAGCGACGCAGTCATGCATGAAACGCAACAGTATAAGCAGTCGGGTGAATACCCTGTAAATTGAAAATATCACTGTCGAATTTACCACGAAACTGGCTAAGGTTCAAGCCACTATCATAAACATGAGTAAGGAGTGTTCTCTCCTGGTTACAACTTATGTTCTCTCTGATAATCACGTAAGTATCACTCACTGTTTGTAATCTTGTAAAGATTTATTCAGCCGTAAGCATCGTGCAACACCACATTACTTATATTTGTGGCAGATAGGCTTTGTCGATTTCAATAATTTTTAACCGCTATATTTCAAACAAGTCGTTTTCTACCATATGCTAAACTCCTTACTTGCAACTAACTTGTATGCACCATCGGCCGGTAAATATTCATATAAACAATTGGTTTATTGTTCACCAAAACATTTAGTGTAGATCATGTTCTAAATAGATCCACTTATGTTTAATGAATTACTTACAACCATCTGTCCAGAATTCAAATAACTGCCATCAATATCACTCATTAAATAGATTTTTGAATATCATTCTTATGTATTCGTAGTTTTATTAATTCCTATCACGGGCAAGAACTAATGAGGTCGAGAAAATCTCCCCACAACTGAATAAACCGTATTAAACTTGATAAACTAACTGGAACACTAGTTGAAATTTTCTCCACGGTTATACAATTGTTTTTCACTTAGCATATCAATGTAATCGCAATTGGAAATGAACTGATACGGACAGTAAACCGGTATAAACATCAATTGCCTTTCTGGCTTAAACCAAATATAATACTAATATAAACATTGACACAATATTGATCGTTTTCCTATTTCCAAAAACGAAATACTTATGCTAACCAAAAATTAAATTTTCAACCAACAGCGATTATCATGCATCTTAGTGTGACTAGTTGAGATATCTGTAATAAATCATTTTTCAGTATAACCCCAGCTTCTTTAACGTTCAAATATTCCTCACGCGTATTTTCATTTTTGTGTTCATAATTAAACCAGGAATTTCGGAATTATAACGAATATTTCTCGACCAGTTGCCGCCGCATTTTTCATTTATTTTCCAGCCTATCAATCCCAGAGGATTCTTATTATTCTCTTGGAGAACTCTGACGTGCAACCATCCCACTCTATATGGTATAGAACAAACAGCGCGTTGATTCTGGTGGGAGAATAGTGTAATGGTATTGATCCTAATCACACAATCCTCGGAACTGAACATGTGGTGACTAGATGGGTAGGAATTCAACATTTAGCCCAGACAGAAGGCCAACAATGCTGAAGGCGGGGAAAACAATTTCATTGAATTGTTCGTAAGCCGTCATAAGGTATTTTATCCGTTTCCGTGGTATGAAGATTATTGACCAAGGATCGTTGATGAAAGAAGTTGGTTTTATCCTTCGGAACCATAATTAATTTGCTAAGAATAAAAATAAAAAGGGTATTATCAGCCTATACATTATGAATGAATTGCCTTGATTTTGTAAGAAATAAACATTTAGAGTTTCAGGGCAACAACTAAACATGTAAAAATACTATGTAAAGATTCAGTTAATAACAGCTAAAAAACTCAATTTAATAGCCAAATGAAGATAAAAATTTTTTTGACAAAACGTAATGCATTACACTCGCAACTATATGTTCAAATCTTTCTGCATGATATCAAGACTGTGAATTGGTCGCAATCCACATAGTACTTTAGGGTCGTCAGAAAATAAAAAGACTGTGCCAAGTGTGAAACAACTGCATATATGATTAACAGTGAGGTCCAATAGTTGAACACCAGAGGACACAACTAGTAATGTTTCTAGAGTAGGAGGAGTATTACCTTATTCTCACCTCCTAGGTTCAGCCCTTAGCGAGGATAGGATCCAGTTATGCGATATGCCCGGTATACGGAATATCTTTCATTTAAGTGCCAGGAAGGAGTATTGTACGTTATATAACAATTCGGTGAATTCAAGCTATAGAGAGAAAACTAGATTCACTTCGTCCCTATTGCTTTTTACGCAATAAAAGTATACTAGATGAGATGTCAGACAGAAATCTTGGAAAATAATATGTCATATTAACATACACCCTTACTCATTAACAAACATAGGATTGTAGAGCCTCGTAAAGAAGCACAGACAGCACACCAGCATTCGACATCCAACGCTGGCCTGGGCAGTCCTTTACAGTTGCTTCCAGATACTGTTCATTCTTTTGATGTCTGCTTTCAACTATCGACGCAGTGTGCCCTTTGGCCTTCCAAGTTTCCGTTTCCCTTCAGGATTCCAAATTGGTGCTTGATTCGTGATGCAGTTTGGCGATTTCCTCGATGCGCGTCCTATCCACTTCCAGCGTCTTTTCCCAATTTCCTTTTCAGTTGGAGGCTGGTTTGTTCTTTCCCGCAGTGGGGTTGTTGCTGATGATATCCGACCAACGGACACTGAGTATCTTGTGTAGACAATTGTTTATAAATGCTTGTACTTTTTGATGATGGTTGTAGTAGTTCCGGAAGTTTCACCTCCATACAGTAGAACTGTCTTGACGTTCGTATTGAGGATTCTGGCTTTGATATTAGTTGACAGTTGATAGTTGTGTCCTCTGGTGTTCAACTATTGGACCTCACTGTTAATCATATATGCAGTTGCTTCACACTTGACACAGTCTTTTTATTTTCTGACGACCCTAATGTACTATGTGCATTGCGACCAATTCACAGTCTTGATATCATGCAGAAAGATTTGAACATATCCAAGCCTGTGTGATACCTCGTTGCTCTTCCTTAGTGCTTAAAAGTTTACTGGCATGAATCGTAGCATCTGGACAAGTTGGGACTTAGTCAGCTTAGACAATCTATGTTCCGCCATGCAGATTATCCTCGTGTGTATTAACGGAGTGTTTAATTTTAACCACTGTTTCGAAAATGTGCTCCAGTTAATTGACGCTTTAAGGTGGCCAAAAGAAGTAAAAAATGACGCTGATCTAATCGGTTTATAGTCGGTCCTATTTATATTTGTGGGTGGGATACAAGATGGTGAGGAATTGTGTCCAAGTGGATGTTGCAGGTCTAAGATATCTATAGAAAAGACCGACTTGTATAATGGTTGATCAGTGTGTTTAGATAGACTTGTCTTTTAGTTAATTTCCAACCATATGGTCATCGAAGCCGAACATAAGATGACTGGGAAGATTCGGATTCATCCTTAAACTTATCGGAGGGGTCAGAAGCGGTAGAAGCAGAAATGCTCAATCAGAATGCGATGGTTTAGTCATGCAGGTGTGATCACTCTATGTGACTTATTCATTTTCATATTGAATATATATTATTCTCTTTCGAGCCAAAATATGTTCTTTAGAGGTCCTAAATATTATCTTGTTGGGTGCCACGATAGGACGAGTCAGTACCGACAATAATGTGACTTCCACGTAAGAACATCATAGCAAATTTACAGTTGTGGAAGAGTCCCTTTGTTCAAGTAGCAAAGATAAATGTACTTAATACCGACCTGGACCATAATCCTAAATTATTCGTTTTGACTTGTAGAAAGTGCTGTGAGCATCAGGAGAGATTATTTATCCTTTAGATGACCTAGACATAGTTGTAACAAGCGCCGGAAAGAAAACTTTTCAAGTGTGGTAATACGCAAAAAAAGTTATCATGCATAAAAAATGTCAACCATTTGCACCAAAAGTGCTGTCTGTGAATTCAAAACGTAACAAACAAAACTTACAATAAAATAGTATGCTAAACGACAAAAATGGTAGCAACCGTAATGGAACGAATGTTACTTGTAAGTTCCTCCGAAGATAAGAGACACGTGTCAAACTGGAGACTGTAAACACATCTTCCACTCTTTAAGAGTAGTCAAATGTTGGAAGTCTCTGTCGGCTGAGCTAGTCCAAGAGACTTCCCAGGAGTCCTTTAAGAGAAAACATGGCATAATTTTAAGGACTAAGGACAGTATCTTACTGTGATCAAGCAATGTATTTTACTTTTCCTCTTTTTTCGTTGATATAACTAGGTTCCTCCCTTGAGGCATTGATGATTCACTGGTACTAAATATGGAAGCCTGTTAAGCTAAAGCTTCTTCTATTCCTTTCACAATCATCTGAACCATTTCAGAGCGCGGCTAAAAGAAGGCCAACGCTACCCACTTAAGTGATACAATGGTAGTTGTATTGAACGGATGTAACGGAGGGACTGTTAGCTTTGCGAATCATGCCCTGAAGCTAGATAAAGCTGCTGATGCGAACGCTATTGCTTCTGCATTAGCTTCCAATTTAAATGCTGAGTGTTTGAATCTCAGCGGAAATACACTTGGGATAGACGCGGCTAAACCTATCGGTATTGCTTTAGAAAAGAACCGCTTCATCAAGCGCTGTTTGTTTAACGATCTGTTTACAGGTAAGGGTCCTTATTGTCTGAAAATGTATCAAGTCAAAATTGTAATGTAAGTATATAAAAAATTTTCAGGCTTCAACTGTCATCTCGCATGATGCTGTTTTTTAATAAAAGCATAAGTCAAAAAATTTCATATTTAGGTCAGACCTACTGCTAGAAAATTAAGTCTTTCTGTAGCCAAGGTTTGCGCGTCGAATCATCTATCTTTAGGACCGCGCTTGCATGTTGTAGAATGTCGATATTTATGCGAAATGCTCAACCAAGTAGTGTAAACCAAAAGGAAAAGCCTTAGTTTTGTGCCGATCAAGTTGATTAGACCATGTGTTATTACATACAGTCACTTTAGAAACAGTTACTATGCTAGCCAACGTGTGGTGTTCAGTGAAACCCAAGTGACTTGATAAGGCTGGTGTTGGCAAATGTCAGTTTATATCTTAATGGCATAGGACGAAAATTTAAATAGGATTGTTCTGACAAAGGCCGGTTCAATTTCTGAGTAGCAGCTTGGAGATTATAGCACTCGAATTTCAGGGGTCGTCCCAAACAGTTCACTTCAATGACACGTAAAATTATACACCTTGTACATTTCTATCATTGACTAAACTAAATGTGTGTTTTTCATATTTGTACATTTCCTAATAGGTTGTCTTAAGTCCATAGTGTTGGGTTTTTCTCCATTTTCTCAAACGGGCCTCGAAATCGGTCTCTTTGGCTTAGATATATTCATATTTTAATTATTACTTTGGGTATTGTGTTCCAGTATTACTTCACGCATTTTTTCGCCGAATTTATCCCTTTAAAGACCGTACTTGAGCTTGGTCGACACTGCTTTTTTCCAATTTATTTGGTTTTTGTCATGTCAATTTCATTTCACCATGCTGATGCAATTTGGCAACTTAAACCGATTCATCTTTTTGTCAGATCCTGTGTCATGAACAACTAGCTGATTGTCATTCCTAAAACTAATCCAAGTTGCTGGATACAGTGGAGTACTGAATACTGAGATGTAGATTACTAAACTAAATAACATAAGAGTATGAGCTCTTTGTTTTAAGCATTGTGGTACACTTGCATAGAAAAATCTGCCAGTCTAACCGTAGATTAGTTGTTCGTTTTTACAAGCTTGCATACCTGTTTTTGCTACCTTAGATGTTTTTATCCCCTACATGTAAAGGAGTTTGATACTTACAATGCTAATACCAACAATTGGTATGTGGTTGGAAAATAAAGTCTATTTTTCCTTTTTTTGTTTAAAAGTGTGGATTACTGTGTAAAACTATCCCTGTAGTGAACAAACAGATAAATTTCTAGAGCCTTGAGGTTTTGATCTTTTGTGTTAAAAAGGTAACATTCAGTCCATAATTGGTTAGAGTGGGTGACCTACAGATCAATTTATTCCAATCGCCTGTGACATTTTGTTGTATTTATTTCGTGTCACCATTTTTGTGTTTAGGAATGCTAGGAGATTAACTTATTGTCTTGCAATACGCAGATAAGATAGTTATGTTTCGTGAAGGCGCCGCAAAATTGTGGCCTCCTAATCACCTCGAGTGGCCATGCAAGCATTTTTGAAGTCCAACTTTTTCCCTTTGAATGCAAAATGTAGCTCCAGAACTTCCATTCTTCAACGCCTTCACCAATAATTGTGTGTATAGTTATCGCGTCAACCACTTTGCTTATCTTTGGAGTCTTGTCAGTACTAGTGGGTTTGTAACCAACAAAATTTCGACATGGACACAGAAAGCTCAGTTGGATTTTACCAAATTGTGACGACGTTGACGTGGGTCCATCTAGGAACAAAAGGACAAGTTTGTCTCTGTGGATAAGACAGAGTATAAAGATAGAGGATGTTCATCTTATCTCCTAAAAGAATTCTCCGATCAGCTCTATCTTCGACACTCCTTTCCGGTTGCTTCCAGATACTGTTCATTCTTTTGATGTCTGCTTTCAACTATCGACGCAGTGTGCCCTTTGGCCTTCCAAGTTTCCGTTTCCCTTCAGGATTCCAAATTGGTGCTTGATTCGTGATGCAGTTTGGCGATTTCCTCGATGCGCGTCCTATCCACTTCCAGCGTCTTTTCCCAATTTCCTTTTCAGTTGGAGGCTGGTTTGTTCTTTCCCGCAGTGGGGTTGTTGCTGATGATATCCGACCAACGGACACTGAGTATCTTGTGTAGACAATTGTTTATAAATGCTTGTACTTTTTGATGATGGTTGTAGTAGTTCCGGAAGTTTCACCTCCATACAGTAGAACTGTCTTGACGTTCGTATTGAGGATTCTGGCTTTGATATTAGTTGACAGTTGATTTGAGTTTAATATGTTCGCTGACAGTAGGAATGAGGCCCTTGCTTTGCCGATCCTTTTCTTCACATCTGCATCAAAGCCTTCTTGTTTATCGATGATGCTGTCCAGGTAGGTACGTGAAAGTTCCCAACTCTTGTGGAGCTTTCTCACCAAGTGTGGTTTGGTTGGTGCTGTCCCAGTTGTATCTGAGGATCTTGGTGAATATTAAGATCTGCTACTGCCCAGGTTTCTACTACACTGATTGTCTTGACCTGCGTTTGTCGGTGTGTACGGGATGAAAGAGCTATATCACCTGCGAAGTCCAGATTGTCTGGATGCATTCAAGCTGTCCATTGTATTGTGTGCTTCCTCTGAGATGTGGAGGTCTTCATAATCCAGTCGACTATTAGGTGAAGTAGGAAGGGCGAGAGTAAGTAGCCCTGTCTGACTCCGATCCTCCCTTGGAATGCATCTGTCAGTCTTACTCCACTCACGACTTTGAGGTGTTGTCCGTCGTATGGATTCCGGATGATGTTGACGATTTTCCCATCTACTCACTTCATAGTGTCGAAGGAGATTCCATAAGATTCTCATATCAACACTGTCAAACGCCTTGTTATAGTCAAGTAAGTTGATGTATGGTGACAAGTTCCACGCAATTGGGTGTTCAACGATGATGCGTAGTGTCACGATTTGGTTTGTACACGACCGATATAGATTTACATTCAACATGTAATACAAAGAGAATGTCACTAATGATTTACGTGACATTAATTAATCAAAATGGCATGGCTCGTCCATGCCGGAGCGGTCACTCTATATAACCTATTGCTTTTTGAATTGAATAAATTACTCTCCACCAAACCCAAATGTAATCTTCATAAGTGCTTGACGTCATATTATCACGATAGGACTCTTCAGTGTAGAATATGATGTGACCTCCATGTAAGGTATTGTAGCTTAGATAGTCACATCATGACAAATCTACAATTTTGGGAACCAATTGTATGAAAGATCTTGTAAGACTTGGAACCTGCTGCTGAGACCTATCTTGGATTCGTTGGGTTTGTCAGTATCTCGAAGGAAAGCTGTGCTAAACCTTTGTAATGTTGTTTCTCTAGTTGTCCAGTGTTTCTTTAGCTTCAGTTCCATCTTGGCCACAACCAGGTGGTGATCTGAAGCTATGTCAGCTCCGCTCTTCGTTCTTACGTCCTCCATTAACCTGGTTCTATGTAGTGTGATTCGGTGAGACCCACGTAGCTTTGTGTATGTTTATAGTAATTCCACCTATCACCATTTTATTGAATTTACATGAATTCACAAATCTGTCAGCATTCTCTCTCCTTTCTCTCAGTCGTTCAATGTCGTGCTATGATAGCTTCATACTTGGTGTTGTCCATTCCGACGTTGGCATCTAGGTCTCCCATCAGGATGGTCAGGTCCATTCCTGAACACCTCGCTATGATCAATTGCAGCCTCTCGTAAAACTGATCTTTGTCGTCTTCATTGCTATTATTGGTGGGTGCATAGCACTGGATGAGATTATGATTCCCTCCTTCTTTGTTTTAAAGGATGCTCTGACGATTCTAGATTCATGAGATTCTCATCCCGTAAGTGATCTTTTTGCTTTTTTGAATAGCATCAGTGCAACTCCTTGTGCATAATAGACGTTTTCTTCCTGATGACTAGAGTACAATGGCATCTCTCCCGAATCTAATCTTTTCAGTGCAGCTTGGAGTTAGTGGGTTTCATTTATTTTGTTCACCACCAGGTTGTGTTTCCTCATTTTCCCAGTTATTTGACTGGTCCTCCCAGTCTCCTACATTATCCAGACATTCTGTGTACCTATATTAATTGTTGCTGTGGTTGTTAGAAGAGACATCAGTCTTGTGACTTCTGAGAGATTTCGGCTTTCACTGTGAGGCTTCATAACTCTTTCACATGAAGATTCTTTACCTTCTGAGGCGGAGTTTAAATGGTTTAAATGATTTTTTCTGGTTTGCGTTTTCTAACAAGGTTTCGAAGATTGGTGAGTCAATGTGTTGTGGCAACTCAAAGCCGAGGATATGTGAGGTACTATGTTGTATATTATTGACTGGCTGATGTCAGTTTTCTACGCAAAAAATCAATCTGTGGTCTTGGTCATCAAAAACTATACAAACTGGACTCCTCACTCTAGTTAGTGAATAGGAAAAGGAAGATTGTTGTAAAGATACTGCTTAATCCACTAATCCCGGTTTGACTAGTCGCTTTTTTGGCAAAATTCTTCTAAAGTTTAATTAATAAGTGTTGGAATCTTGAAAAATGATTGCATCAAGAGCAACAGCTCTCCACTCACCGATTATTACCTCCAAGTCAAAAAACAGAAAACTTTATATATATATATATATATATATATATATATATATATATATATATATATATATATATATATGGGAAATTGTACCAAATTCTCAAGCCACTATCTATCAACCGAGGTTAAAACCACATTTTTGTGTCTAACGACTATAAGTATCGCTAATCATTATTGTAGACTATTTCTTGTGGCCAACAACTGATCCCAATAGAAATATAGTGAATATATTTAAATACGTAGTAATTATGAAATCCGTATATCTTATCAAACTTTAAAAGTGTCTTTCGTCACAGTTCTCCATGCAAATATCACCAATGCCATTCATTTTGACAACTTTAATTAATTGTAACATTGTATGTTTTGTTTATGATATAAGTAACATGTTTTTTTGTACGTAATGAATAGAAAACTTAATTTCCAACATGCAACCACTCTGGGTCTTTTTAAAAGAATAAACAACTTTTATTATTTAAGGTTTCTCCTAATAATAAGTATAACAAATCGAACCCACCTATCAATGAATAAAAGCAAGTTTAAGCATAGCACTTTTGTTATTTGTTGCGAAAATCAGATAGACATCAACATGCAGCCCGGCATACATCTACGTTGACCCAAGTTGCCGTATCACAATGGTACGTCGAGATGGAAATAACGAGATTGATCAAAGTATTACAGTAGCTGTGATAAAAAAGCTAAACCTTGAGAGTATGGTTTGGAAAGACAGTGGGAAGGCATGTATGAAGCGATACTGGAATTCAACATTGGGAATAAGAATGGGAGTAAATTTATCTGCGCCACTACGAGTGATTCTGATCCATATCACCCAACGTTTCAAACCCACTGATTATTGTTATCGTGCTTACCACAACCAGGTATTCCGGATCTATTAACATAGTTCAAATCGGAAGTTAATAAATGATGCTATGTTTCGTTTCGGTCATCCCTAACTTTCTTCCAACTAACTTCTGCCTTAACAATCATCTCTTATCGAGGTGGGTGGTTGTTGACCAGACTCGTCACATGTCCCACCACTTCAATCGGTAAAGATTTAAAACTTCATCAACCAACTTCCATATACCTAACCTCAAGATTGCTCACGAAACTTGGGGAATGCCTCAAAGACACCTATTATCCAAAACCTTTAGTTTACTTACTCAAACTCTTGTTCCACAGTCGTAAGTAAAACAAAGGGGGTTGCTGCGCGGTATACATCCTTCGGGTGGAAGACGACCATCTTGTGGAAATAACTGTGCGTAGGATGATCCCAACATAATGTAGTGTATCTGTGAGTTGATTTGTACCATGGAGACATAGTTCAGGTTAGTAAGGTAATGAAAGATTCCTTCTCGTTTTGCTTAATACTGTTCAGCACAAAGCATTTTGACTGCTCATCATTGTTCATAGGTGAATAAAGATTATCGAATGGTTCGATTTTTTTAACGTTGTTAGGCAGTATTGTTTTGCAATTCTTTTTACTTCTACTGTATCTTAACGTTGTGGTAAAATTAAAGTTTTGATTTTTCAATAAATAATAAAGTTTTGCGTTATAGGACATATTCATTAATGACCATTAGAAAGTTAATTGTAATACAAGATGTTTGATTTATTCTTTTTATACAACTGGAAATTCTTTAAAGCTAGTTTAAGGACATTCAAAGGATTGTATGCTGGGGTAACTGAAATCGAAAAAAAAGTTTATCGAAACCCTTAAAACTGTGTCAAAGTTGAGCAACCACATTAACTCTTTCTTTTAGACTTATATGCCGTACTACCGTGCATTGGTCTTTTGTTACTACGATATTGCTTGAAAAAAGTAACCTATTTATCAATTTAAGGTAATGTATTTAGATTTAACCTACATTTTGTCCGCTGAAGTACTTTAACCAATGAACTACTTTTCCTTATTGTTTAAGGGTCGCTTGGTGATTAAAGCACTTGGCTTTGAACGAGTAGGTTGCAGCTCCAAACTCTCCACCACCTATATCGATTTCAGCATCTGAATAGTATCACTAACCGTCAAGCGTTATGTGGACATATTTTATGTTGCTTCACTCGCTTGAAAATCAGATTAAAATCACAGTCTTGATGAGTGATTACCTAAAAAAAACGCCACATTATGTTTTGGGGCACCCTAGTGGTATACAATCCTTACACAAATTAAAACAATCGGAAATATGTATTACCAACTACTTACATCATAATTACTTGTTCAAAAACCTTTATGGTTTGAAATAAGCTCATTTTATATCGTTTTATTTCCATATGGTTTAGAGCATTTTACACCTTTATTATAATCTTTATGTCATTGAACATTTTATCTGTATTGGAAGTTTTCTATCTAGACAATTTTGTGTCATTTAGATGATTGCTTATGAAAACTCGTATCCAAATGTAATTTGTGATCTATCGATTCCAAAAGCATTTTTACAATCAGAATTTCTTTGAAGGTTTGAACCTTCATGCAGTTCGGACAATGAGTAGGTTTTGTTAAAACCATAATCTAGCTGCTGATATATATTGTGCCTCTGAAGTCGAAGGTCCAGTAAAGTACTGCGAATTTGTTCTCCATTAGTTGATTTCAGTGTCGTGTTTCATGTTCATCTATAGTAGAACAATGTAACAGTGATACAGCCTTTCTGAGCTAAGGTTTTACTCATTTGATCATCATTGTGTACAAAAGATTGTTCAGGTTTCACGGCAACACTGTATTTTTGGCGTTCTATTAATATCAGTTCATCCATGCTGTAAGCAAATGTTCTATCAGGGGTGATATGTCAAAATATCGGGTTCGGAAGTTTTGATACGCTATTCGCAGAAAATCCCGGCAACTTCTATATCAAGCACTAACTGCTAACAACTAGGTTTCGAAGACAGAAACAATCAGTTTGTGATACGGTTGTCAGCAGTCGAAGGACAGTTATGACAACGGACCAAGAACTTATTTCTGTAAACCTGCTCAGTTTCAGTCCCCCTTTTTCGTTGTTGTGTCTCATCGCGTCTTTAAATTCTTCTCTTCTTTCGACATATTGCAATTTATTTCTTCATGAAGCTCTAAAAGTCTACTTGTATTGTGCCACATTTAGGTCGCCTTAAATCTGAAATAGCACCAGCACTAAAGTATTTGAGTAATGGTCTTATGGCTTCTAAGTCTCAAATAATTGAATTGGATCTCAGTGACAACGCTTTCGGTCCAAATGGGATTGTTGGTATAACTGATTTACTGGCGAGCAATACTTGTCACACTCTTGAGGTTAGTGTTGTTTTAAAAAAGTTTTTAACTATTGATGGTTTTGTAGGTACTGCGAATGAACAACCAAGGTCTTGGCCATGAAGGATGTCGATATCTTGCAGAGGCCTTAGAAAAAGGACGATGTTTGTCAAAAAATCAAGGACTACTACTAAAAATATTTTCTGGAGGAAGAAATCGTTTAGAAAATGTAGGAGCTCAAATGCTTTCCAAGGTTTTCTGTGGTATGGGATCCTTGGAAGAGGTATTTCATAGAAAGTTGAAGTTACCTTCTTTTATAGCTTTCTCTGTATCAAAATGGAATTGGAATTCATGGGGTAGATGGTATTTTGTCATTGGTGAAAATAATCAAATCTAATCCAAATTTACGAGTGTTAAATTTGTCGGACAATTCGCTTACTCCACGTGGTGCCGAAGCAATTGCACGTGCCCTACCTTCAGTAGTCAATCTTGAGGTGAATTTACTTACAAAACATGGTCCTATTATTTTCGTTTTCATAAATATAAAACAACTCTATATAAACGTCTTAATTTAATTTGGTATGATTCTACGCAATTAATATAAGTGAGATTTAGGGTCATGGAGATTGTTGCATTTGTGTTAATCAAGATAAAGGTCTTAAAATTTTAGCGAAAACCCAAAACTAATGGCCGTGTTTGGCTATATTGGTTGATAGTGAAACAAGTAGCGATTAGATAATCTATTATTGTTTATTTGTTGTACTATGTTACGTTCTATTCATGGTACCAGACATTAGTTTTTACATTTACTTCACGTTCTGATTCACATCTCTAACTTACCGTAAAAGATTGAATCAACCCATAATTCCACATGAACTGAACTTCAAATAAGTGCGAAATGTGTCTACGGTAAATTCGTTATTCACTTAAACACACAAACACTTGTATAAGGAGGCGCTAAATATATATGCGCCACACTTCATCATTCGATGTGTGTGAAAGCTGGAATACTACCTGGGCGCCCAATACGAAGCAGGTGTACGGTAAAACAACTTCCATTATTTGTTTCTACTGGGCAAAAAAAATCTTTATTTTGATAAATATTGACATTACTCCGATCAGGTAGAAGTAGTACTCCAATCATTGCACTAAAGCGCCTATTTACTGTACAATATTCGCATAAGTTACTCATCACACAGTTACCGGGTCTTTGGTGTCATCTTTTAGTTACAAAAGTTTTTCGCAGCTTGATACAATTATACTTGTTTCAGATATAATCAGCTAAAAACTCAGATTCAGAGGTAAACTTCCTTGATGACTAACTTGTCCGTTATAGCTTCTGCAGATTTTAGTTCCATAGTCGCTGCATATTTGAAGAGTCGTGCATTGTTGGCTTGTATTCGGTTCTTATCCCTCTCCATTTTCTAATTCTGTATTGGATACTGTTCTGGAAATAGTCTGTCGGCTAAATCAACTGACTGTCAATCTGGTAAAGTATCTTTAGACAACCTAAGCATAACTAGTATCCGTAAGTCGATTCTATTTCTTCGTAACTAAAACTACGTTGCTATGGTGCTTTTCTGACTCTTGTTTTTATAGGAACTTTATTTGAGCGATTGTATACTCCGATCATCTGGTGTAAAGGCACTTGCTTCCGCTTTTGAAGATCCTGACATCACTCCTAATTTAAGAGTTTTGAATCTAACTGGAAACGAAATCAAACTGTCTGCTGGAATTAATTTAATTCTATCCTTGGGCAATAAATCCCATTTAGAATTACTAGATTTGAATGCTAATGAATTCGGTCGCTCTGGTGTTCGATCAATAATTCAAACGCTTGATTCAGTCGGACTTTTGCACACATTACCCAATCCAAACGACAAAGAAGATTCATCAAATAAATCAGTTATAGAAGAATCCTATTTATGGGCATTTGACGAAGATCAAGGTTCAGATCAAGAAGATGAAGATGATGAAACCAATGAAGGAGAGGAGGAGGAGGATGATAATGCAGAAGATGATGATTCTAGAAGAAGTCGATATGGAAATGATGATGATGATGATGATGAACGAGAAAATCATACTGATATAACTTCAGACCAAAAGGAGAGTAAGTTCACATGTCTTTTTCAAAGGAAATATTCAGTTGTATTATTCATATCACAAATAATAGTCCGATTTATCTTAGTGTAGATGTTGTTCATTTTTTTACTGTTTATGTTTGAAAAAAGGACAATACAAATTTAAACCGTCTAATGGTGAATGATCTTACGGTTAGGTCTCATGTTTCCTTGTCTGACTATTTCTGAGTTTCATCGGTCTTACACATACTATAACTAGTATGACGCTAGTCAGTTATAAGGAAACTAAAACTTAGCAAAAGTACTGTTCATTAGCTTAAATTACTACATCAATGAGATGATAAATGGTAAAGAAGTCGAAATATTGGTAGTATGAATGATAGTAAGACATACTAATTATAGGGAATATGATCAAATTATTAGAAAGGTATTAATGTAATATGAAGTACAAAATAATGTCGAAATTGAATTTTGTTGGAAAATAGGAAATAAATTCATTTGCACCACTGTAACAAATCTTAAGTCATATTTTAGTGAACGAGAACACAAGTGAAGACAAACGAATGTATTTGAACACAAAATTACAGAACCTTTTAATAAAATCTGAGAACTTTACAATAAATACTTTATTTGTAAAATATCAGCCAATCATCTCAGACTTGATTGCTCCTTCGTTTCCACACCAATGATTCACTGTTCTCGTTCTCTTTTCCCCGATCTTCTTAACCTTCTGCCTCCAGGTATTTCATTTTTGATTGATGATACATACTACTTATATCACCGATCGTCTCCAATTATCATACTTGGTTTATGCGCAAACTTGTGAGTGGCATGTCTGTTAATTAAACTTTATGTAATAGTAAACATTGGGAACTTAGTTCCACCGCATAAAAAACAATTATGACTACCGTAATACAGTTTTAATTCACGTATTGAGTTGAATTATAAATTCACTTCACTATATCAACTTATCGGTCTAAAGTCTAAGTGTACTCCACCAAGCCTGAAGGTCGTGCGTTTGATCCTTGATGGTGTCGTGGATGCTTACTAATGAGGAGTCACATATTAGGATCTAAAAGCTATCCAGTGCTTCCTAACTTCCAACGGTTGTTTAACCAAAGCTAATTTCTGATGTGGAACTTTGCAAACGTTTAAGGTGTATAATTAAGTTTTAAAAATTCAAACAATATTCAAGTACTAAAGAGAGTATTAGATTGTGATAGTTGTTCATTATTTTGTGCATTATCGAATGTCGAAATCAAAAATCGAATGATTTATTAGTTCATGGTTGCAATTCTTTCGAAATTTATATTTTTTTGTTTTTAACATGAGTCAGATGGTTCCACGTTGACTATAACTGATTAACTGACATTTATTATGTTTTATATTCTGGATTCATTTTTTTCTATGAATTTTTCTTCCACAGTTGATACTGCTTTCTCTCTTCTACTTATCTTGTTAATCGTCTCTCTGTGTTTGCTAATTTTATGAAGTGCAACAACTTATACCAATACACTTATCTGATATTATATTGCCTATGCTTGGTTCCGACTAATCTTTACTTCTTTTACCAACCCTTACATGGTATAAATTTGTGTACTTGACTTTGAGCCATTCTAATTATGAAGGGTGTCGATATACTACCCGGGTCACCAAACTGGGGTTGGTGGATCAGGATTTGGGCCAGTAGCTTGTTGACTGAAAGTCGAACACTAGCACCTGAGCCACCGCTCGACTATATGCTGACTGTATACACGTGCATATTGTTGTAAATTCAACTTTAATTCCCTTTTGTTCCTAATAGGTTCAAACGTTAATTTCAGTTTTCGTGAGGCATTTTCAAAACTTGGAACTATTGGTGGTGGTTGTTTGACCCCACAAAACGAAAATATCCAAATAAATAAACCTGGACCTTTTGGTAAACAATCATTTGGTTTGTTTTCTGGAATTTCACCTCAAAACACTGATACAACAGATGCTGGTGTGATTCGTTCAAAACTATGGCCTTCTTCAGGTTTGGGCAATTTATTCAATTTTGGTGATAATGCAAACGCAAAAAGAAATCTATTTTCTCCACCAATTCTATCGAATAAGGCTGTTGGTCAAGTTGTTGATGAAAAGAAATTAGATGAGGATAAACTTAGACAACTTTTAAATGATGCACTTTGTAATCCAAAACAAGAAATGAGTAGAAATCGTTTGATTGGTGAGTTAGTTATTTGGTTATTATTTGATTAATTAGTATCTAGACGAGTTCAAAACTCATCCAGCGCTCCTGAATTTTCAGTAGGTTTCTTAGATGATTCAAATTCATAACGAAAAAAATGTTGATAATTCAGGAGTTATACCAGGAAATGTTTCAATAGGGATGGCTAAAACAAATCATGACTCCTTGTTTGTAGTGTGTTCAATATTTGAAATCAACGTTTGAAACTGTGAGCGGTGTTAATGCTAAACTCATCTCAGTAATACATACATTCACTCTGGTTTCTTTTCAAAGTACAAGACCATTGTCTTCAGACAAGTAAAAGCAATTTAGTATTCATTACAGTTGTCTATCAATTTAAGATGCTTTACTTTATGTATTAGTAAACTGAAATAAATCTACTCAAATCTTCTTTCAATAATCTTCCTAGCCATTACCTGGTGAAGACACACTGTATGCACCATGTATTCCGTTTTTAGTAAGTTTTTCGGATATATTACTTACAGCACTGATATTGTAGTGAACCGAAACTCAGGTACAGTAAACCAACTTATTGTTTCATGCAAAATTACAGTCTTTGTATAATATGAAAATCATACATTAAATAAATCGTTTGCATATCTTCCTTGAGTTACCCCTTGCATACTCCGTCATCTTTTTAATTCTGTTGTTATTCTGATCGCTCTCTGTTTTCCTTCTTGTTCTCTTCAATTCAATCTTATGTTGGTAAGCATTCCACTTCTAATTCCCGTTGCATACTACTTATTATCTATCTACATGAGAAGCACACACCACAATATAATGGACATCAAGTATGATATTCGCTATCCATTTATACAATGCTTTCGTTACGCATCTTAATATTTTGTGTTCATTTTCTGGTGTACTATTTACTCTAGTCTTACGTCTTATTTTCTGATCAGATTTTACACGGTTAGTACAGTAATATAAAACAGGACTTCTGTTAATACCATATAGTTGTGGATTTAAATCTCGTTTATTAATGTTTATTTATCTTAAAACTCGAATTGACCTATCTAGTGATTTAATATTAAAGTATTGGATTCATGTAAATAGGCTTTTGAATAAAGAAATTCGTCTTAGATCCGTATACAATTTAAGACAGATTAGATACAGGTAATTATAAACTGCCTCCAAATACCCTGGTACGGCCGAAAGTGGGGAGAGTCCACTCTCCCTCTCGAAGTGCTCTCACATGGCCACGCGTATATAGCCTCTGCCAGGGAAGTCCTACTCAATGCCTTCTCGTGGTGGGAGTGTTGTTTACGAAATTGAGAGGACGAAAAGCGAATTCCCGGCGCTTTAACCGGATCCCAAATCAATAGTGCACATGGGCTCCAGTATCCTGCGGGAACAAATGGCGTATGAACCAATCGTTGGTCACCGACTACCATGGGAATGCATCTCCTCACGATGCTTCACTGCCTTGTGGATCAGACCTTCAGGTCGAAGGCTCGGGTTGTGGCCCCCTAAGAAAACCACCTGCTTCGGTTTGGGCACCCGGACAGTATCACAGCCCTCACACATCAAATGAGGCCTGTGTGGCGCATATGTATTTGGTGCCTCCTTGTACCAATATCTATGTGTTAAAAATAAAAAAATAAAAAAAATCACCAAATACATTATTTGAAAACATAGATATTGGTACAAGGAGGCACCAGGTACATATGCGCCACACAAATCTCATTTGATTTGTGTGAGGGCCGTGTACTGCCCGGGTGCCCAAACCGAAGCAGGTGGTTTTCTTAGGGGGCCACACTCGGAGTCTTCGACCTGAAGGTCTGATCCACAAGGCAGTGAAGCATCGTAAGGAGATGCATTCCCATGGTAGTCGGTGACCAATGATTGGTTCATAAGCCATTTGTTCCTTCAGGATACTGGAGCCCATGTGCACCATTGGTTTGGGATCCGGTTAAAGCGCCGGGAATTCGCTTTTCGTCGTCAATTTCGTGAACAACACTCCAACCACGAGAAGGTTGTGAGTAAGACTTTTGTGGCAGAGGCTATATACGCGTGGCCATGTGAGAGCATTTCGAGAGGGAGAGCGGACTCTCCCCACTTTCGGCCATACCAGGGCATTTGGGTACAGGTCCGTTCATATTTATTGTATTATTGTGTTTAAAGTAAAAGTGTTCTAAAAGTATACAGATTTACATTTGTTCATTCCAAATTATTTAATCAGTTATAAGTAATGTACAGCTTGTCATATTTATATATTGGTTCAACTTACCAGACCAAATCAATACGCCCAGACTAAATCATCATTAGATATGCCAGAGTAGTAGAAGTGGTAACGGTAGTAGTGTTAGTAAAAAAACACTAAGCATAGACAATCTGATTCAAGAACAATAAATTCAAAGATCAAATTATATAAAAATTATTTTAAAATTCAAGATCTAATAAAAAAACTGAATTTATCTATGACATTGCGAACTATTTTGAGCCATATCACGCAATGTACGATAATCATGCAGACCCCAACCAAATAGTCTACACCTACATACATGGTTTGGTCCGATCGCCAATGACTCAATGAATTGGTTCAGTCACCCTTACCTTCTTTGCAGCCTACTTCTATGCCATTATACATCTGAAAATAAGTTTGTGTTAACTTTTCATTCTCTATCATTGCTACTAATCCATTGACTTTTCTATTATATCATATATATTCATTGTTTTCATTTTTCCAATTTTCCTAGACTTTCTTGGATCTACTGAATACTTTAAACAACCACCGATACATCCCGTTATAATGTTATGCTCACAAACAGCTTCACCAGAGAATATAGTTCGTTTAAGTTTAGCATTATCACGTAGTGTTATATGTCAAGCGAATTCTGTTTCCGGTGCAATTATGCAATTGGCTATTGGTTTATTAGCTTCAGTATTTACAGATGTTTATAAAAAGAATACAGATAATCATCGTGTTAGTTGTGCAATCAATTGTCTTCTTGTTTATTTAGGTGCTATTAAACCTGAAAAAGATAGTGAAGATTGGGTGGATTGTTCATTGACTACTACTACTACTACTACTACTACTACTACTACTACTAATAATAATAATAATAATAATAATAATAATAATAATAATAATAATAATAATAATAATGTAAAATTTAATATACAGCATTATTTACGATTAACTAAAACACTGATCGATTATTTCGGACCACAATTAATACCAAGTGTATGTAATTGTTTAACGGTACTTTTATCGGAACAGCGTAAAAAGGAAATACAGTCAGAATCATCTTTTGTTCGTGATGCTCACACATTGGATGGTAATCATTTACGTGATGATATTATTAATTCTTTGGAGAAACAAATGACTTCAATGAATTTGAAACGTTAAAAATAAAAAAAAAGAAGGATAGAAAAACAAAACTCAGAAAAGACAATGAAGAGTTCTTCTTTATTCTCTGCATTTCTAACTAGTTTTTATATAGATTATGTATTAAAATTGAATTCAGTAGAGAGATTAAGTCTTATAGAGTTTTATGTAAAGAATATAAATGAGATGATATTCCTGATTGTGTATTTATATCTACGTATATTTGTGTGTGTGTGCGCGCGTGCGCGCGTGTGCGCGTGTGTGTTTACTTTCAATCGAGAAAGAATTACAGTATAGAACAATGTAAAAAGAAATAGTGTAATTCTGTACATAAAATTAAAGTTAAATAACGATTCACTACTTGTTGTTTATGCTTACTATTATTATTATTATTATTATTATTATTATTATTATTATTATTATTATTATTATCCTATCAATCAGTAAATCTTCCTTCGATAAACTGTCATTGTTTATGTAATGGATTTATGTAGTCTGAATAAATAATTGTGATTGTGTTATTCATTATATTTTCTATATATTATGTAACAGTTTCGAAATCTCACGTTGGTTGTTCTCGTTATGATCTTTCAGTTGTCTTAGTTGATTTCTAAAACTGTTTATTTGGTTAATTTGAATCTTGAATATTTCAATACATAGATATATAGTTGTAATGATATGCAAATGAAACCTGAACACATTAATCTGTACTTGATAAATAAAATTTACTAGGATAAGAAGAATAAAACATTTAGAAAATAATGACTATGTTGATACTTTGATGAGATGTAAAAATTCGAATTGAATGAATAACAATATGATTACTGATCATTCTTAATAATAAATATTCAAGTAGGTTCGAACCCCACTTCAGTTTAAATAGCCAACCGGTATTATCATTAATCATCACACCTAGAGTTTGACTTCTATTCAAGTATCTGTCAAATGATTTCATTTAAATTTCTAAATGAATTTAACTATCTAGTGTATACAACGCAAGTGTAAATGAACTGTCTATTATCTAACAAGTAGAATGTTGTGAGATATCAGCTCACTGAAGACAATGATGATGGTGGCGCGATTTTGTGGACTAGTTGAAGTTAGACATTAATATCGTTGGATGCCGGTCGGTTCAGTGGTCTGATGGTTAAGCGCTTGCGCGCGAGACTGGTAGGTCCTGTGTTCGAATCTCGCGGGGGGGGGGCGGGATCGTGGATGCGCACTACTGAGCAGTCCCATACTAGGACAAAACAGCCGTCTAGTGTTTCCAAGTTTCCAACGGTGGCCTAGCTTTAATCAACACATGATATCACACTTTACAAGATAAAATAAGTGATGATCATTGAATTGTCATATTTTTTGTGTAGCACAATCAATATTATGATAGATGATACAATCTATTTTAATGTGTTCATTATAATTATTTAGCTAAAAGATTGTTAGTATCAGATATATATGAATGTAATTCATATATTACTACAGAAATAATAATGGGAGTGGTTTAGTTAACTAGTTTTTATCTTTCTGGATTTATACTATGGTATACAGATTATATTAAAATAGTTACTAAGATCTATTATCTAACTCAAATTCATTGATCATGTGATAATGAAGTTTGTGAGAAAATTAGAAAGTCATTTCATATAATGATACTTCTCTTCATAAATTAACATTCACTGAAGAGAAAATAGAAACCAAGGTAAGATGTTATGTCATAATGATCTGTGGGTGTAAATGATAATGATTAGTTGTTTAATTAGTTAGACTTGTAGATAGTTTGACAGGTGTCTGATGAGTTATATATTCCTCTATCCTTGTTAATAGATTATTATTGATTGATTGTTCATTGCTGTTGGATCGTGTCGGGTTTTGGATCTAGAAATATATTGACGTTGTAATCAGGCTAATCACGTTTTCTTGATCATCTGAGTTGTGTTGAAGTCCTGTAGAATAGACACTAGGAAGGGAATCTAGTGAAGATATTCGTCTAAGGTAAATTAACGTCCCATGCATGTAAATGTGCAAAACCAACCGTTATAACACATAGTCTGAAACTTCTTAAGAGTATTCATTCATTTACATTATATTTAATAATTTATCATGTATTGAGTGGTAATTTTAAGTACGCAAACTTTAAACTACTATGTTAGGATGCAGTTACCGCATATATGTTAACTCACTTCATAGAGTAGTTATTACCGGTGAGACTATAATTTATAGACGACCTTTGAGCGACGCTAAACTAACCTTGCGAGTGTCCACCTACTTACTAGGGCTAAATCAGTGTTATAAAGTAGTTTGAAGAATAAGGATTATGATTAAAGTTAGAAATTAGATTCTGGGTTTTCATCACCAAATGACATTACCTATAATGCTAAAACTCTATTTAGCCAAATGGATGAGTGAATTTCGTGCCAAAATCTGAGACCTGTTATCTTATACGTGATTGGTTCGTATATAAATTATAGTCTCACCGTTGTTCCCATCTTTATCATATCCATATATTGAAAATCTATCAAAGAAACTGTTGTTGAATTATGCTTGTCGCTTTCTTAATCAACTTTAGTTTAAAATGGATTTATTTATTCCAGAAAAATCTTCAAGAATAAGGTATTCAACTTGAAGAATATGGAATAATCAATAAAATCACATCAATTATTTTCTTACTCTTTGAAATATTATCACTTGAGAATTATACTTTATTAATTGAATTTATGACTCAATTGAAGCTAGACCACCACCATGGAAAACCTGAAAGCACTGGACGGTTGTTTCGTCCTGGTGTGGAACTCCTCAGCAGTGCTCATTCACGATCCCGTCTCGCAAGATTCGGAACAAGGACCCATCATTCTCGTGCACGAACGCTTGACCTCTAGACC